CAAAATGTTATATAGACATAGAGTAAGTAGTATGTTAAATGTGTACCAGATTTAATAATAGTCGAAGTTTAGGGTGTGTTTTTTTAAATTCTTAAAAATTCCGTACAACTTGATGCATAAAAGAAGAAGACAAAGAAATATAGACAAACTCTGGAATCACATATCTCAGTTTTGGCACAGATTTTCTTGAAATTTGTAATTTGAGGTAAGCAAACTGGGAGGTAATATTATGGAGGTAGTACTAAGTTACAGATAGCTGAAAATCATAATTAATTGGTTCCTGTAAATAAAACACTTTGTGCTGTGCATCTTAGGGTTTTTTCTTGGCCACATGACACACTACCATGTATCTTGATTAAAGATAATAGAATTATATAGTGTATTTATAGAAATGTTGATTGCATGAAGACAATAGATTAAGAGGACACAAGTTTAAGATTTGGAAGAGCCAGAGTAGGCTCCAGTTTAGACAGTTTTATTTTCCCTACAAGATGATTAGTTTATGGAATGAGTTACCATCAACAGTAGTGGAGGTTAGTACCTTACAAGAGTTTGAGAGGGGGAATAAATGATTTACTGTAAAATAAAGGATGGATTTAAATTCTTACTTTTTCTTAGAAGTGGGTGTGCAAAGACACTCTTAAAGACCATATGGACCATGTTGTCCTTAATCTTAATAATTAAAGCTTTTATGGAAGTTTTCTGTGAATAATAACTTTAATAACAATAAAACGTAAGGATTTCGCAGTGTTTGTGAATATTTCATTTTAAACTTTTATCTTTACCGTGTGAAGTAAATATTTGACAAATGGCTCTCTAATCTAAAGGAATACTTCTCCAGAAGGTGATGTTTGTGCAAGCCTGTAAATTCTTATAAACATCATAAGTAGTGAAAGCTCAAATTATGCACTTTAATTTTGCATTATGACTTAATATTTATTGTATTCAAAATGTTTTGTGGTAACTTTATAGAAACCAGGTGTGGTGAACAAAATGTCCTTTGTAGTTAAATTTGTGGCTTTTTAGTGTTGGGCATTGCTAGTGATTAATTCATATATCCTGGCAACTGATTTATTAAAGATAAAGGATCCATTTGGTCTTTCAAGGCTGCCCCTGCACACCACTACTGAGGAAAGTAAAAATATAAATCTTTTCTTCATTTCTGAGGAAATCTACTGTTTAAATCATGGTAAAATAAATTAAAAGTCATGAAATCTGTTTTTATGCTAGTATTAATAGTTTCTAAATTAATTCAAAATTTCTGTTGACATGGTAGTCATGGGAATTGTCATTTTTATGTATTCACTGAATAGAACAATGATCTTTATCAGGAATTTCTTTAAAAAAATAACATTTATTATGTTTATAAGAAGGATAGAAAATGCTTACAATTAATAACAATTAATCGAAGGTACAGAAATGTTTACCCTTTTTTTGAACTTCTAAATATATATGTTATTTTCCATTTGCAGCAAACCAATGATTCCCTCTTGGCTGTTACAGTTTGATTATGTGAAAAAGTTTTAAAGATAAATTTTTAAATATTCAAGGTAAACATATTCCTTATAGAAAGAAAAGGGTAGCTACAAGAAGAAAAAAACAGGTTGGCTCACAAAGAGTATAAGAGATAAAATTAAAGCAAAGCATAATAAATATAAGAAGTTTAAATTGACCAGTATGACAGGAGACTTAGAGGATTATAGAAGATAAAAAAAGTTAGTGAAACAGGAAATTAGGACATCCAAAAAGATGTATGAAAAAAGGTTGGCTGAAGATGTAAAATTAACATTAAGGACTTCTTTAAGTACATTATGGGTAAACAAAATGTTAGGATGTGGGTAGGAAGGACCTTTGAGGGATAATAAAGGAAGGCTCGTATCTGATGATTATGAGATGACTGGGTTATTAAAGTTTGCTTTTTCTTCAGTTTTTACTGATGAAGATTTAAGCAGTATTCCACATCTTGAACAGTTGATAGGTGGAAACAAGATCGAACAGGGTGATTGCATTAATTCCGAGCTGATTTGGAAAAAAATGGGAAGTTTAAAGAATGATAAGACTCCTGGACCAAATATTTCCTCAAGGGTTTTAAAGAAGGTTAAAGATTGTATATGTGAGCCATTTGCTATTATTTGTTGTCAGTTCTTGAATAGTTGGCAGGTTCCAGAGGATTGGAAGTTAGCTGATGTAATTCCTCTTTTCAAGGGAGGTGATAAAAATTGTTCCAGTAATTCTTGGCTCACTTATTTTACATCATTTGTGGGAAACAAGGCAGTAAACTTAATTGAGTTCAAGAGAATGCTTCTTAACTATATGAATCACAAGGGTTGGCTTTATGGTTTGATTTTTTAGTTTAGAGGACAAGATGGACCAATAGGTCCCAGGTTCTCCCAAAACATTTTGTTATTTAGTACTGTGTTCACACAACGGTATTTTTGAATTGTTTCCATGAAAACTTTTATAGTAAATTTGGCCTTAATAACTGCCTGTGAAAAAAAAAAATGCAGTAAATAATTAATATTAACTTCTGATCAAAGTTTATGATATGGTGCAAGGGGTGTAATGAATTTAAGATATGCTTTTAAATTTGTAGTGTTATTAAACAGTACATGTAAGACAGAATAAAAATTGAACTGTATCCTGTAAAGTCAACAGATTTTTCTTTTGTTGCTTGCTAAATGTATGATGCTATAGTTGATGAAGTCCACCAATTGTTTGTGTTATGGCCACACTATATGAAGAACTGTCCATGTTTTGTGTGGTTAATGAGTTGGTAGAACATTCCTTACTGCATTGGGTAAAGCATACACATATGTGAAAGAATGGCAAATGGTACATCAGGATTCAACCTCTAGATCTCCATTCTTAAATGGTTTATATGTATGCAGTGTAACATCTGATGGTAGAGGGTCCATGGGGGCACAATCGTGTGAGACTGCATCTCACCTTGACCAGAGTATACTTTCTGCATAAAGAACCAAGTATCCATATATATATCTGCTATCCCTGTAGGAGCTCATTTTGGTTTAATATATTCACAAGCCTATCCACCATATCATGCAAGATTCTAGCTATTCTGTGTCAGGAGGTGAGGTATCATCTTGGAAGTTAACATTTTCCTTGCCTGAAAATGTATTTGCAATAGATAACTTATCACACCTTCCCACCTGTCCTCCCCACTTCTGGTTCACTTTCTTCTTGCTTCTCATAGGAATGAAGTTATTTCAAGCATAAGTGCTTAGGCCGAGTTACTGCGCAAAGAGGTTGTGTCATCGTCCTATTGATGAAGGGTTACGTAGCATGATGGCACTAGTGTAGTTCATGTTAAACACAAGATTTTTAGGTGAGAGTTAAAGCTAGTGCCATGCAAATCTTACAGGCAGACATGCAAGGGATCAAGTTATTCTGTGTGTAAATGTGAGTATCTATTGGAAATGCATTTTCAGGTAAGAAAAATCTTTATCTTCAATACGAAGGATAAAAATACTTTTGTCCATCATATAGTTTGCATATTGCATTTAAATAAATCTAAAACCTTCAAAATGCATATCAACAGTTTTGTTCCCAGTGTCCCTGTATAATATGTGAGGTATTTACACTCCTTTACCATGACTTGTCACTAAATCAGCAATGTATGGTAAAATGTATAGTTAAGACCTCTGACATCAAATAATTGTTACTATGCTGAATACCACTCTTTAAGAAGTTATGGCACACATAGTTTGACCCCCACCCATGTGCATAAGGTTAAATGTTACTGTGCTTTGTGATTCACATTACTTTGAATACATTATATAAACCTGAGGAAAAGTACTGTAATGTGGCTGTGGAAACATTGTAGTTTCAGTTGTTCTTATTACATAGTTGCAGATAGAGAAAACTGGTAAAATTTAGTATGATCATTTTATTTCATTAAAATTAGCATAGAATATAAGAAATGAAATGCATAAAGTTATGGTAGGTTGTGCAATAAATGGGCAATGTATTAGAAAATTGTTCTCATTTTATCAAAGCAGTTTCATTTATTTCCAGTTCTTCAAATTGTATATGATCTTTTGTTACTACTCATATTAGTGTTTTATTTTTGTAGTTTACAAGATATGCTAACTACAGGTACATGTAAGTGGAACAAATAATTGGACTGGAAAAATTTAAAGTACATTCCCATTGTTAATTAAACTATATACAATCACTCAACATCTGTTTTAAAGTGACTATAATAAAGTTTACTCAGCTGTGGAGGTTTACCCTTTGTGACTAACACCTAAAACCTGTAAGTAATAAAAATTACCTATTATCAACTATTTTCATTTGGTGTGGTTCACAGTTGTAAGAGACTAGATCAGCAAGGTTGTGGTTGAAAGTATACAAGCAGTGTCCTTGCCCATCCCATAACCAAACACACTGTTTCAAGTTCATTGGGGCAATGCTTTTCTGCATGTACATATATATGCACATGTCTGTTATCTCCAAGTGAAGTTAAATATGATATGTATTACAAGGACATAGTTTATTTTTATTGAGAAATGCAAGATAGTCATATGGTTGATGTTTTTTTTTTACTCATTATTTCAGTTGTGCTTTTATTGTCTTTTGTTTTCATGTGCTAACACCATATGTTTACTTCTGTTTATTTCATTAGGTTCACTTTGTAAATTATTTGTGGTTTTAACAAGTCAACCAAGGTATTTTATACACTACATCTTTCAGGTTCTGATGTGCTTTAACAAATTAACCAAAATGTTTTATACACTACATCTTTCAGGTTCTGATGTACTTTAACAAGTTAACCAAAGTGTTTTATACACTACATCTTTCAGGTTCTGATGTGCTTTAACAAGTTAACCAAAGTGTTTTATACACTAAATCTTTCAGGTTCTGATGTGCTTTAACAAGTTAACCAAAGTGTTTTATACACTAAGTCTTTTAGGTTCTGATGTGCATAAAGAATGATAGAGTGTGATCATTGATCTCTGTTAAATTTGTTTTTCTATTTCCAGATTATTGAAATAGAAGTGACTTGAACATTTTCAACATTACTAGCATTGAATATTGATATGCAACAATAACTATGGCAAAACCAGATGAACTAATACTTGGTTCTGGAGATGGTGATAATGCTCAGTCAGGAAATGCTTATGCCTTTTACCAGCATTCACCAGTGAGTGAAATGACCAACAATAATTGGAGAGTTCCTACAAACGTTGTACAGAATTTAGAGTCACAGTCACAGCCTTCTTTTGAAGAAGTAGAAGAAGAAGGTTGCATGTTGTTTGAAAATTTTGTATTTGAAGAAGCTGAGCATATACAATCAAACAAAAAGGCTATAACTTGTCAGATTTATGATCCTAGTTTTCTAACCTCTCCTGCTACTGATGAGGATCAGACAGGTGAACTTCACAGCAATTTGTCTACCCAGGAGAATCCCCTGAGAACACTTTCTAAGTAAGTTTGTTCTGATAAGGTCATTGTACAGTAACATAACATTTACATCCTAACAGATGATTTATTCTTAAAGCTTAGGAAAAATTGTGTGTTTTGACAGACATAAATGGGCTAAAGTTGTATTTGTAAGCATAAATAAGAGATATTTTGAGATAGAAAGAAAATCATATTCTTTAAATCAGTGTTTTCCAAATTTTAAATAGGGGCACCCCCACTTCCCCCATCTCATTAAAATAATTTCTGCAAGTGATAACAGAAAAATCAAAATTTTCTTTACCTGTTTTTAATAACGTTTTTACAAGTGAAAAAATGCTTGTAAGGAGGGAGTGAGTAAATGTGAGAGGAAAATGATAGTTTGTTAGGTTATTGTCATCTCCAACCCTTCTGTTTCTCCCATTATTATTTTTGGGCTCTCCTGCCAAGCGACACACACACACACACACAGTCGTGGCCCACAGTTTGGAAAACATTTCTTTAACCCTTTGACTGCTATCTACTTGCATTGTAAGTTGGTAATGCGACATTCGTGAAAGTTCTTTATGAAAATGAAACTAGATGATGAAATAGTTTTAAATTTGACTTGAACGGTCCTAAGATTATGTACTTTTAGAAAATTAAAATATTTAATTTAGATTTTTTCTACTATTTATTATAAAACATTCATTTATTTAATCTCAATAGTTCACATGCAATTTGATTTTTTATTTTGAGTATAAGTATAAAAATACTTTGA